GGTCCTCTGAAAAAAAGAACAGAAACCTCATCATTCTCTGCTTGGGTAGGATAGCATGTCTCCCTGGCATGGATCCCTCTTCAACTGTACTGGCTTCTAGGGGACAGTGCAAAATTGTATGATTTAGACATATGAGGAAGTAAAATTAAATAGCCATGAGATGAGCATACCATTAAACAGATCTAATTTATAATGGGCTCTTATGCAAATTGCCGTTGAGCTCTCAGTAAAAGAAAATGAAAAGAGATTAATAAAGACAACTTGGACTAAAAAGTTGCAGAGAAAAAAAAATGTAAAAACCTGTTTCAGCTCACTCTCCATGCACCCCAGAGTGTTAAATAAGCATTCCCATTAGCCATGTAAATATAATGATGTTATAATAAAACTTGCACTTAACTTTTAAGGGCCAAACTCCTAATCACTTTGTCACAGTGGCTCCAACAAGTGAGTAAGATTTCAAATAAAATACCTGTTCTTTGCCATGTGATTCATTACTGGGGGGAGAGAGATCTGTTTTCATGCATATTTTGCTCTTTGCCTGCTGCTGAATATCCAACCCCGGTGAAGTCTGAGGCAGTTACTTGCCTTGCCATTAGCATGGAATTGCAGGTGCCAGGGCACTGCGGATGCTCCTCCTACTGCACGGTTCCCTCCAATGGGTTAATAAAAGGACTTAGCACCAGTTTTGATCCCTTTTTGTTGTTCTGTGAAAGACATGGGGGGCAGGGAAATCTAACAGCTAAGGAACTGTTGAAAGTAGTTTATTGCAAAAGATTTTCAGTTAGTTTTGAGTTCATAGTGTTCTCTGATAAAGAAGTTAAAATGAGAAATAATATACTGAATATATTCAATTGTAAGAAACGTTTATTTTCTCAGAGAAAAAAGAGGTTTATTTCTGCCTTACTTTGCAAGTGATGTAATATTCTGCATGCTTATTCCTTTGATTGCAAAAGGGAAGAATTTTAGCTTTGTCCAGTGAAGCCGTTAAAACAGACTGCAGAACTGTGTCATTTTTCTTGGCACTGAGTTTTGCCATAGTTGTCTTGTTTACTTCATATTGACCATCTTGTTCCTAATTGTTGCTGCCTTCCCACATTCTCAGCTGAGGCATAATATACTAAAGTGAAGTCTTTTCCCTTTATGTATATAATAATATATATAAATATTTATACACTGAGAGAGCAAAGTTATAAACACACTGTGTATACAGTTTTGCTGCAGACTGAGTATATTTTTATACTTGAGAAGCAGGACTTGATTCTGAAGAATTTGAGAAATCCTGTAAGCAATGTCATCTTCCCGTGCTAGCTTCTTGGTCTAGAAATGCTGTTATGGGAGTGCTGGTGTGTGGGAAGAAAGATCCATCTCTGTAGTATTTTATGGAATTAAAACAATGATCTTTTACATGCCCTGTTGTTTTTTCTTCACTAAACTCAGGCTTGTGGCTTGGCCACATACCAGGCTTGACACAGGTTTGTGTCTTAAAGTAAAACCAAATTCTCGATGGAAGCAGGATTTTCCACTGGTTATATTTTCAACCCTTTTCTGGCAGTGGAATATGATACTTAAAGCCACAGACATTAATTATTACCCATTGGAGGTCGCACTTTCAACCCATGGGACATTAATTTTCCTGATACATAGAAAATTTCAGCCTGTTAGTTTTAATTAAATATTTCAGAAGCACGTTTTCGTGTAAATGGACTACAGTTTCTTATCCTTTACCCTTGATATTTGGCTAATTCTGCATATAATTATCAGCTTATTTTGCAAGCCTCCTTCAGAGCATTTTCCTGTTTCAAAAATCCATTTAACTGTTATGTATTTGTCATTCAAAAAAAAAGGTGTCTTTGTCAATCATCAGCCAACATTGTCAAGAAGGAGATGGGGAAAAACATCTTTCAGGTTTTCTTGGGAAGTGAAATTAAAATAATTAAAATAAGAATGATATACCAGTCCTTTCTTGTGCCAGCGAACTGGTGTCTCTTAAGCATTTATAATTGCAGTGTTAGACCAAGCAGGAGTATCAGCAGAGCTACAGGGAGGATGGTTACTCAGATTGTGTCATATAAAAGAGGTGCCAACTGAGGCATGGGAGGGAGCTTGCCACTGCCTCTAGGAACCCAAGAATGCTGGTTGTTCCCTGGATCCTGGCATAGCCCAGTCTCCTCTCCTGATGGGTGTAGCAAATGCAGCTTAGGAGCAGGACCATGTCACCAGATTTGGATCCCATATTATCTCAACTTTTTCCCTGAAGGCCATGTGAAGGATGTGGGAATCTATGTTTTTCCATCTCAAAATGAAAAGAAAGCTTTAATTTTGTTTACAGGAACCTCTCTGCTGGGGGTCTACCCTTCCAAAGCTGTTTTAGTATGTGAAAGTGCAGTTGTGTATTGCAAAGTGGTCCTGGGAGGGGAGCCAGAAGGGAATTGGGACTTTGCAATTCCTGGGGTTTTGTCGCTGCAGCCGAGCACTAAGGCAGTGTTTTCAGTTAATGCTTCCAGCCCATACCCAAAGCTTTTGAGGTCCCAGGTAGCATTCCCAATGGCTGTGTGCTCTCCTCAGCATTATGGTTTTGTCAGAAGGCTCCATCCTCTGATAGTATCTTGCTCTTCTCTAAACAATTAATAAAATGGAGACAAAAAGCCTAGAGGTTTAAAATATGTAATTATATAAGTAATTTAGAACTAGGAAAATGCTGCAGAAACCAATTACAATTATGCATTTCAGTAATGACTGACTTGGCCAAATACATGTTTTGTGTGTGAATTCCATGATAGATTTCAAGATGACTTGCTTGAGTATAGGGGAAAATTAATTCTAAATGCTGAGTACTTCCATTTTAGACATAAAATGTGGTTCATCTACCTAGTCAACAGGAGTCTGTATTATATGGGGTTTTGCAGCTTAAATTTTGAGCAGCAGGGCAGGTAATAACAAGTCTTCGAGGAAGAAGGCTTGAATAGTTCTAAGGGATGGCTTTTAAAAGAAGTGTTTTGTTCCTGATCATGCTGCAAAATATATTTCATTCCTTATATGCTATGGATTTCATGTGACTTTATTTGATTCAGGGATTTATTACAGAATTGTAAATGGCCAACTGAGGTTAATGGGGTTTTATTTCTTTCCTAGTCTCCTCTCAGCCGGTGAGAAACTATAGATGAGACTTGTATTCTGTTCAGAACTTGTATATGTACCTGCTCAGGGCACAGACATCACTCCAAACTCAATTTGGATTGTCTGTGCCGTTTTCAAAGGGAAAGTGTGTGGCTGTGGGTGCAACACTGTGCAGAGTCACCTGGAACCCTGACTCTGCAGTTCCCTGAGATGCTGCTGCAAGCCCTGCTGCCTCCCCCTCTTTGGGAACCACTTCTGTCTTTTGCCTCTTGAACCCCTCCTGGAAATTGCCTTCTGCTGGCCAGGGGATGCGGCATCTCTCAGCATGGGATGCTTCATGCAGCCAGGAGGGCTCGTAACCTCTGAGTTTCTGGTGCCTTTTTTTTTTTTCAGACTGGGGGTGGGGAATGGTTGTTTATTCACTTCTTTTGAAACAAAGAGTATGCCATGACTGTTTATTGTGCTTGCTCTGTCCTTTTCATGAGAAAATAGACTTGTACCACAAACTGAGTGTGATCAGGAAATAAAAGTATCTGTTGGTCCCCTACCTCCTTGCTGATGTCTGGTAATACTATTGTATGCTCTCTAGTAAACTGTGGTGGTTTGCTGATTCCCAAAACAGATTGGTTTTGTTGGGAAAGAAAACTACATATGAACAAGACTTTCCTTTAAGATATTGGAAATGTGGTATCTGCAGAATATTACAGAATGTAGCAGGTTGTGACAAAGCTCTGAAATTGTGCCCCAAATTGTTGGCAGTGTTTCACATGGCGTGTCTGTTTGACGTATCACAAGTGAGCTATTTCGAGACCATTTGTTTACAGTTCTGGTGTTGGAAAGATTCAAAAAGTACTTCCACATTGCATGTACAGGCATATGAGCAGGCACACAAAATTAGACCTACCAGTCACTCCTGCTCATTTCATTGGGAAACCACCAGTGACTCAGGACTGTTTTGCAAATGCTCCAGTGTAGAATTGAAACATTTATTTCATGTTACTCTGAAGGTTTTGTTTGGAGTTTTCAGCCCTTTCTCTTGCTCTAAGTAAAGCTGTTTTGAGAGACCCACATCCAGAAATGTATGTGCACCCAGCAGTTGATGCTGCAAAGGCCTGCTGGCAAGCAGAGGCTCTCTGGGTAGCTGTGTGGTTCTGGTGGTCAGTAGGTGGTCTCTAAAAATTGTGACATTTTTCTAGATTGCTGTAGAGAGTTCTGACTGATACCTACCAGTTAACTTTTACATTAAATCATTAGCTCACGTTGAAGTGTTATCTCTTTTGTACCCCCATCTTCATATTCCCATAATGTGCTGCCCCTCAGCTGTGCCTGCCTTAGCATTGGTTGCAGTAGTGGTATCGAAAAGGTGATCTGGGTGTAAAAAACAAACAAACAAAAACCAAGCAAACAACCAAAACAAACTTATTTCCCAGGTACAGTTTCCAGACTAGATGAAGTTCATTGTGCAGATGAAGATCATTCCTCTCTGGAAAGCAGAATGAGTCAATCAGTGGTGTTGGAGCATCTAGTGTGGATGGGGTGTGCTGAAGGGAGCAATCAGAAGAGGTGCCCAAAATAATTGAGGGAGTGTCATCTCATGAGACACAGATTTGGGCAGTGAGGTGGGTCCAAGAGGCTGCTGCCCTGACTGCTTTTCTTCCGCCTCCCATCCACTTCCCCTGCTGTGCTGCTTGGAAGTTCCTGAGGCCATGCTGGAAAATGTGGCTTAAACCATAGTTTGAAAACAGCCCTTTTCTTATGGAGCAGAGCCACAGAGCTGCTTCGGTGAAGTATGTGTGAGAGGGTTTTGTAGCGTTGGGCCATTTGAGCAACTCTTGAGCTGAGTTTGGTCTGACTCTGCTACTCTTCTCTTGTTTCCTCTCCAGAATTGGCCGGCTTTTTGATGGCACAGAGCCCATTGTCCTCGACAGTCTCAAGCAGCATTATTTCATTGACAGAGACGGGCAGATGTTCAGATATATCTTGAATTTCTTAAGGACATCGAAACTCCTCATTCCTGATGATTTCAAGGTGAGATTTCAAGGGACTTGGGTGTTTTGCATGATCCTTGGTAAAGCAAGGATCTGGTGTGTAGTCAAAAGAGAGCCCTAGACAGGGAAGAGGGACTTGCAGGGTATGGTGTTTGATTTCATGTACGTGGCAAAAGTAAGCATGGAGTTGCTAAAGTGGTATCTTCCTTTCCTAGAGTGGCATCAGTATTAAATTTTCCCCTCCTGGCTCTAGTGTAATGAAGCAACCTTGCCAGGTTTGACCTTGGGAAATTAAATATTGTAGGATACTGATGGAAACAGAAAGGATGTTACAATCTGCAACTGACTGCTCATGAGCTTGGCTGATTACTTGTCCTCTCATCCGTTTTTATGCTTCCCTCTGATTGCAGCAGCTCCAGTTTCCACTCCCACACTGAAATTAAGAAAATGATGTGGGAATCACAGTATTGACAAAATAAACTGCATACATGGTAATATTTGAGCATTAAGTCATAGAATATTTTCTCTCTCAGACTCTTGAAGGCATACTGCAAGTCTAATTTTGGAATTTGAGATAAGTCAGGGATGAGTAGTTCCATGTTCATTATTTAAACTTTATTAAAGATCCTGCTTCTTTTTCTTTTCAATAACAAACTTGTAGTAGTTCACCGTGTTAGACATTAGTCTGCAGAGGCAGAGCTTCAGACTGCATGTGATGTTTATCTGCTAGTAGGTATGTGGGTGTATATGTGGTGTCAGAGAGCTGGGGACCGTGGTTGCAATCAGAACAGATCTTTATCATTACTTAATGAACACACATCAGTGCAGCTGGCTGTGCCCCTAATTCACTGGGGGAAATACAGCAATTGGGATTGAACAGGAGAAGTGATGGGGAAGGGTTAGAGCTGTTCGCCCTGGTGTGCTGCCTTTTGTCCCATGTATCTGAGACAGCTTTTCAGGTGTTTGGGTCATAATAGGTGTGAGGTTGAGTTCAAGAGCTGTATTTCAGCAACCTTTGAGTCATCTGCTGTAGACACATCCTTGTTGCTCCCATGCGTGACAAGGGTAGATCTCCCTGAATAATGTGGGAGTTTGGAACCAGCTGATAAGCATCATTTCCCTGTTTTGAAGTCTTAGGGCATCTTTGTGCTGCTCTTGGCACTTATCCTGGAGGTAATCAGAAATACAGGAAAAGGAAAAGCAACCTTTCATACAATATTAAGAAATTACATGTGTAGAGCCTTTTAAACACATAAATGTATTGTAGCTGTGCCGAAATTAAAAATGCAACTCCTGGCAAGTTCACCCAACTATGATGTTCAAAGGAGTGGTGCTCAAAGGCGTACAAAAAAATCAGCGATTAAAATAAACAGCACTTCATGTTTCTTAGAAATATATAGAGTAGGTGATGTTTTTTGTTATGTATTAAACGTAACTGGTATTTTAAGCTTGATTTAAGTGTCCCATTCACATCAAGTATGTGGTTTCTAGCTCAAATTCAGGACCATATTGATTGTTAGCAGTCTTCTCTTTGTTTCTCTGTTTTCCCTAATTCTTATGTATCGCTTTTCTCTGTATAAATATTTTCCAAATAGTTTTATGCTCTTAAACCTAGAAAAACAAGATTTTTTTTTTTAAATGTTTTTTAAATTTAAAAAATGGCAGTAGGCAGACTCCACATCATCAGTTCTAAATTACTTCTGCGCTGGCTATGCCTAGAAATGCATTCTCTCTGCTCTGGCATTGAGACAATGTAGTAAACAATACTAGTGGCAAAATGGGGAGGTATTAAAAAATACTTAATTTTTAAAATGCAGTAATATGTGCAAACATTATGCAAATATCAGAATCATTTTACACTAACAACCATTGCAGGCGCCCTCATTTACATTCTTATACCTGTTACAATGCCTGCTAGTGTTGCTGTAAGACGCGATGGATCCTAGTGATGAATTTTCTGAATCCTGATTGAATTCTGTTCCATCTGTTCAATGAGGTCATTATTCTATGACATCACTATAGGGATAAAATATGGGGAAAAGTGAGATTTTTTTTTTTTTTGCCTGGATTTTTTTGCATAAGGGAGTTGAGCAAGCATAGCCTCTCCCTCTCCACAGAAGTGCTGCTATACTCAGCCCGTTTCAAGTGGCTAATAGTTATTTTTTCCTTGTTCTGTTATTTTATTACACTTCCTACACAGTAATTAGTAGCTATGTCTGAAGGGTTCCAGACCTAGAGCGGTGTTGGCCTGAATAACCATATACATTAAGTGCCACATTAGCAATGCCTCTTTCTTAATTGTGCACAGTAATGCATGTGTCTTTCAGGACTACAGTTTGTTATATGAAGAAGCAAAGTATTTCCAGCTTCAGCCCATGCTGGGAGAGATGGAAAGGTGGAAACAGGACCGGGAGAGTGGCCGCTTCACAAAGTCTTGTGAGTGCCTGGTGGTGCGGGTTGCCCCAGATCTCGGAGAGAGGATTACACTAAGTGGCGATAAGTCATTGATAGAAGAAGTGTTTCCAGAAATCGGTGATGTGATGTGTAATTCTGTCAACGCCGGCTGGAATCACGACTCAACGCACGTCATCCGATTTCCACTGAACGGATACTGTCACCTCAACTCAGTTCAGGTAGGAAATCACATATGCATTTTTTGAAAGGGAGGCTGCTGGCCAGGTACCAGTGGGCTGATCCTCGTCCATGTCACTGGAGTGTTTTGGTGAACAAAATCAGCTGGAGGCTTTAAGCTAGTTATTTGCCTCTGTGGGTCAGGACGTCTTTCTTGATTTAATTACATATATTCCCCAAATCTCTTTGCAAGCAAACTACAGTAGTGTTAAAATTTTCTGTGGTCTCAGGAAAGACCCTTCGCTTTCACTTCCATTGGTTTTTCCTAATTTTTTATGGCATAGTAGAGGCCTGTTGGGATTGATAGGACAAGGGGTAATGATTTTAAACTACAATAGGGTAGATATAGACTAGATAAAAGGAGTAAAATTTTTACAGTGAGGGTGGTGAAACACTGGAACAGGTTGCCCTGAGAGGTGGTGGATGCCCCATCCCTGGAAGCATTCAACGTGAGGCTGGAGAGGGCTCTGAGCAACCTGATCTAGTTGAAGGCATCCCTACTTATTGCAGAGGGATTGGACTAGATGACCTTTAAAGGTCCCTTTCAACTATGATTGAATATAGCAATGTCTCAAATCAGTAGCTGTTACGAAATGATTAAGAAAAAATCTGGGAGATAAATGTAGGTAATTTCTGGAATAATTATAACAGGGTCATGTGTTTTGTCCTTTGTTGGTGAAAAATAACCAACCTCACACACCTGCCTGCATCTAGTTAGACATCCTGCATAGCCGACACTTTGGATTGTGACCACTTCACATCTGGAATCATCACTAGCACAATCAATGCTGTTACGTTTGGACACAACTCCTAAACACTGCAGACTCATGAGAGAATTCTTATAGAGAACAAGTTTGCGAGCTAAACTTGGTGTCTTTTCATCTGCCAGGTCCTCCTGTCCAGGTAGAGAATCATAGAATCATTAAGGTTGGAAAAGATCTCCAAGATCACCAAGTCCTGCTAATGCCTTAGAATTCTTCAAAATTCAACCTTTGTTGAACCTTTGAACAAAACATCACTATGTCAACTAAACCACAGCACTAAGTGCCACGTTCAGTCATGCCTCGAACACTTCCAGGGATGGTGACTCCACCATTTCCCTGGGCAGTCCATTCCAATACTCAACCACCCTTTCAGTGAAGAAGTTCCTCCTGATGTCCAACCTGAACCCCCAGCAGCACAACTTGAGGCTGTTTTCCTCTTGTCCTGTCACTAGTTGCCTGGGATAAGAGGCCAACCCTCACCTGGCTACAACCTCCTTTCAGGTAGTTGTAGAGTGATAAGGTCACCCCTGATTCTCCTTTTCTCTAGATGAAGCAAGCTGAGCACTGGGGCATGGACTGAAGGCTGGCCAGGCACTGCACTTGTGCTAGCACTTAACATAAGTGTCTGGTAGACCTGTCTAAAACTATCTAGATAGGTCTAGATAACTCATGTTATGCTTGGACAGTTGTCTCTTACTGGTCTTTACTGTCATACTGAAACATCAGAATGGTTTTTGTCATAGCCATTAATGCAAATTTAGAACAGCCTTGGATATAGGATTACAGCTGAAAAGCTGGAGCCAGGGCTGGGAGCTGAGGTCTTTGCACCATCATTTGTTGAGTGAGCTGTGTTGGGTGCATTCCCTTGGCACTCCAAGAGCCCTGCCTGTCTCTTCTTTTTAACTTGTGGATATTGTTTTTCTTTTTTTTTCTTTCTTATTTTTGCCATTGTATTTCCCACTGGAAGCAACACTCTGGCTTTGTGAAAAAGGAGGAAAGAAAGTGAATAAGCAGAACTCATTAGTTCCATGATTAAAGTGAAAAGGTTACCATAGGTAACTGTAGCCACAAACCTTCAGAATTGCAGTTGGTTTTTAAGTCTCCAGTAAATATCGTGATAACTTTTTTAAAATTATGACCATGGTATCTACATTGTCACCATTTAGTTGAGATGTCTGCTCACATTGGCTGTGCAGTCCTTCATTTTTCTTCTTAATTGCTCAGTGGCCATAGTTGGCAGAAATCAGTCCAGTAGAATTAGGCTGTGTAATCACTTTTGTTTCCTAGTTGAATCCATTTGAAAACACCAGTTATTATCATTGGACAGCAAATAATCTGTTTATTTACTTATATGTTAGTGTTTGTTTCCTCTTTTTTGCAGGTACTTGAGAGGTTACAGCAAAGAGGGTTTGAGATCGTTGGCTCATGTGGAGGTGGGGTGGACTCTTCCCAATTCAGTGAATACGTACTGAGACGAGAACTCAGAAGGACATCTCGTGCACCCTCTGTCATTCGAATAAAGCAAGAGCCTCTGGACTAAAATGGACATGTTTCTTTATGCAGAAAAAAAAAAAAAAAAAGAAGAAAGCAAAGAGGAAAACAAAAGGGGACATTTCATGTGCAGTTTGGACTCCAAACAAGTCCTGGAACTAAAATTAAATAAAAGACGCATTTATATCGAATATAGAGACCACACCTGAATTCATATGGGAACACTTGGAATAGTAGTGATAATAATAACCTCAAGATATAAAAGAAAACACACACACATAAAAAATATGTATGTATATGTATGTCTGTACATATATATATGTATGTATATGTCAAGGGGTAGGAAATGCAATGAAAAAAAAAGTGGTAGATGAGGTTGGTGCTGTGATGGCCATTAAGTGTCCTAGGCCCCACCCGGGCCCACTTAACGGTGTACAAGCCATTGCCATGGGGGGGTTCATAGACTACTCTTCACCCATTTTCCATTGCCAAACAGCCATCCACTTTTTAATGTGTACACACCTTGATTCAACTTTATTTGCATATGGAGGTTTATGTCTGTCTTTTTTAGAAGTGGTTGGGCAGGTGTTCAGGAGATGACCATCCATGGCATTGGAAAGCTTGTCAACTGAATTTTAAATGTAGTTTGTACAGAAGTCGCACACTTTTTGTCTGCCCTCACAGATGTGAAAGGTTAACTTTTCTTTTGAATTAGTTTTTTTGTTGTTTTTGTTTTGTGTTTTTCAAAGGGGGCCAGAATAATTAATATTTGGTAGAGATGCTCTGGTTTGAATCTGCTGCTTTCCTACAATTTTTTCAAATTTTATAATGTATTAAATACAATAAACTCCTGTTTAAAAGAACAAGGGTCTGGTTTAAGCCAACAGAAGCAGAGAGGTGGGACTGCACTGCACTCCACCGTGTGGAGGGGTGGCCACTCTGGCAAGGCAGCGAGTAGGCAGTGCTGCCTGCACATGGTGGAGTGAGTTAAAGGCAGCAGAGGCTGTTGAGGGATCTGTCTGGTGTGGCACATGTGGCCGGTATTTCTTCAGCATTGTCTCTTTTTTAAGTTTTGTCTCAGTTGGAAGAGAAGCTGTTGGTCAGATGTGACAATAACACCAGCTCAGCCCAGGGAAACCCATCAGAAAAGGACACCTGGTTCTGTAACTGTCAATGTAACAGTGACTCCTTGCATCATTCCCTCCTGATTAAGGAGTTGGCAGCTTCAACTCTCCAAGCCCTTGCCTTGCTGAGTGTTAGTCAGCCTGTTTGGTTTTAATGTTGTTAATTTCCCTCGTTTCAAGCCATTGTTCTCCTGCCTAGAGAGCGACAGCCCCTTGTGTCACGCCATCGGCTGCGCTGCTCCTGGTAGCAGGCAGTAGGTAAGTCCATGTCCTGCGTGTGATGTCCTGCGAGTTGCTCTCTTGCAGCCTCTCACTGAGGCCACCTCTGCAGCCACCTGGGTCAGGCCTGTGAGGTTTTGCAAAGGCAACATATCACAATACCACTGCACAGACCCTTCACAGGTTGATGCTTTCACCACCTGAGATGCACCAGCAATTGCCGCCTTTCCTCCAAAGTATCTTTTTATGCAATATTACTGAATTTGAGTGTGTATTCATCCTGGTATGGAAATTTCTATCAATGCGATGGTGCTCGCGTTCCATTAATTTTGGTGACACTTTGCTATTTATTTAAGAAAAGAAAAAAAAAAGAAATTGTTAAATACATGTAACAAGGCTTTTAATATAGTCTGATAACTAAGAAAAAAGTTACAACTTTTCTGGTTTTCATTAAAAGACGTTAGGGGACATCCTTAAATAACTCTCTGGCAGCACATATTGTTGGTTTTGAAATTACTGAAATGTGAAAATGGGTGAGGGAGTGGGCTCTAAAAAGTAAGGTTCTTTAGCGGGTTATTAGATCTTAAATGTGATGCTGATCTGTCTATTCACAGTACTGAAACAGCTGCCTTATTGAAAATGCTTGTTTTCAATTAGCAGCAAGTCCTCTTACAAAATAAACAAATGCTTGCTCTTACTGCCCACAATTTGGTTGTTAGCTTGGATAGAAGTCAGAAAACTAGAACCCTGGGAAATAAATATTTTTTAACAGATATTCAGACCATCTCAAGTGGTATGAAATTTGTCATGTCCGGTAAGATGCGAGTCCCCGGGGGTTTGAGAGTACGAGGGTACCGGCGCAAGGCGATGTGATTCTTCAGAGACTGCTGCAGAAACCCTCCCTGCACTTCCAGGTGGAGCCTCACTTTCTAGGGCCTCCGCAGTGGACCCGGGGATGTTAACACTGTTCAACCCAAAGGTACTTTCACATCCAGACCTGCCCTGCTAGCCACCATGCTCCACTGCAGACTGGAGCTGGGGGGGCATGCAGCTCCCAAAGCCAGCAGGTTGTGCTTAGCCAGTGTTTTTGCTTGCTCAGCATGTACCTGTCCAAGTCAATGACACTGAGGATATCTCCGTGCTCCTCCCAAATCCTCGGCTGGCTGGTCATTCTCCCACGGAGCCTACGTTTGTTGTTGATGGAGTCAAAAATCACTCTGAGCCCCTGAATGTAAGTGTCTCTGCAGTTACAATGTGGTCTAGGAGTAAGAGGTCATGAATATTCAAAGTGATGGCTGATGAAAAATGTATGCAGGAATAAGCTAGCTGTAGATATTTAGAGAGCAAATGAGATTAGACCTGTTTGCAACTGAGGTTTGGAATCACGTGTTTTTAAAATGTTCTTTAGAAAAGCTGCTCAACAAATGAGCAATATATCCAGGAATGCAGGCGAGTGGGGAGAACCAAGAAGGACCAGATTGTGCTCAGCTTGTCTCTGGAGGTTAATAATTTTGACATGTACAATAGTTTAAATTTATCTAATTTTTTATTAAAAAGTATGACTCCATTTTATGCAATTAGTGGTGCTGTATTTAATAACAGAGGAAGAGCGGCAGTGAGCAGTAGCTACAAATGTTGTACTTCAGCAAGCTGGTTAAGCAGTTGCCAGGAGCACTGCTGTGGACGTGCAGAGATTGCAGATGGCATCCAATGCCCTGTCCCACAGTGACACACAGGCAAAGGAACTGGGTCTTCACCTTCTTTTTTGGTATTCTGAATATTCCATTTCTGCAATAATCATCGACCCAGGGTTTAGTTCTTCCCCTATTGCCTTCTTAATATACCAAACAGCTGCGTAATATAAGTATGGATCGTGACATGCTTGGATGAACCTTAAAACTGTGAGTGTCCCATTGAAGACTGAGCTAATTTCCTCTGCTCTGGAGAAAGTGAAGTCCTGCTTAGTCACAAGGTTAATCTCTCTTTCCGGAAGCAGTACTTGTAAATAGGCGCTACTAATTTATTCTGTCTCCAGGTACTTATTGGCCAGGTAGTCTGGCCCAATGAATGTTTTTCCTCTCCATTGCCACAAGTCTGATCATCTCAGTGCTTGACTGGCACAAGCAAGTACAGCTGAGGCATTGTTTTATGATGCCTGATAGAATCCATAATGAAAACCAATAGGGACAACTTACCTCTGAAAGCATGAAAGTTGAGCCACCCATTCAATTATTTTTCTTTATGCTGAGCAGGCACTGATTTCAATTTGAAGAGAAGCATTTTGTTCATGAGCATAATTTTTTTGCAGCAACCTTTCAAAATTGACTGCTATACTAATTAACAGGGTTTTTACTGCCACCCAAAATGACTTTTCAAGTGAATTCTTCTTTAATGTTCACATTGTATGACTTGAGTAAGGAAAGGTTGGATTTGGGGGGTCTGAGAAAGGAATTTTTGTTGATGGATGGTCCCTTTTTCAGAGAAATAAAAGCATTTATTTCCATCTGTCATTTCTTCACTGCAGAATTCTGTATTATGAATTATTTCTAGGGACAACTGGTATTTGTATGTCGGCATTCATGCTGCCTGAGGTTTATTTACAGTGGAAATGAAACCAAGACATCCTTAGGGCCTGTAGACCACTTGCTTGTTCTCAGACTTCAGTTTGAGTGGTTTATTATTTCTTGAGGGTCTGGAGGGATCACCACCACCAAAAATCAATATGTTGCATCAGGTCTCTGTGTTGGCTTTGGCTGCTATCCCATTGATCTGGTTTTTGAAGACCCCAGAACAGACTGAGCATATGGGATCCGTTATTTGAGACTGAAACTGCTAAAATCATATCCCTACTCCCCTTAAAAAAAAAAAAAAATGATGCAGGTACATAGTACACAAGTTCATCCTCTCATAAGCTGAGCTAGCTCTGCTAGCTGGTAACTAGGATGCTACATCGATGCTGGAGGGAAACCCTAGTGCCAACCTGCTGAAGTATCTTCAGTTTGCGCAAGGAGGGGCTCCGGAAATGGAGATGTCCTCTGACAGATGGGGAAAATTCCACATTTTCTTGAATCTGTAATTTTTTTTTTTTACATTTGTTGACAGGACTTAATACGAGTCCTGTGCTCCTAAAATAATGAAGAGTGTATTATTTTGCAGGTGATGTCAGAGATTGTGGGCCAGATCCCATCTTCTGCCATCTGCACTCATGGTGAACTTGCCCCACACCCAAGTTAGGAGTCAAAGAGGTACAGTGTGGTGGTCATCGACTGTCAGTATCATTGCATCAACAGCAATAGTATGTCATCTCTGTTACCTGTCACTTCTAAAATTACAGATTTATTCCACTTCAGGTCAGAGGAAGCATGGGTTGATCAGACTCTTCTCTCTCAGGCTCACTGAAGCCCTCTGTACATGAGTTCTTCTTTCTGGAGAGGCTGTTGCTAGTGTGAACGGGCTGGGGTTTTTTGCTTCTTGGGGAGCATGAGGTGTTGGTGACCTTGCCCAGCCCATCGAGCCATGTCCTGTGGTCCTCAGAGCACAGCTCTGGCTTGATGGTTTGGGGAGAGATTGAGGGAGGGAAATTGGTCTCTGTGCTCTGGAGTTTGGACTGATAAATGATCTCATCTACAACCCTAAATGGTCTTCTGGCTTCTGTTACGTAGCTTGTCACTGTTGTTATTAATTTTCCTGAGGAAAGTGCATAATATGGAATGGCTGGCCTTGCTTCCTTGCCATTAGGATGCAGTCTAAAAGGCAGGAAGACATTGACTTCAAACAAAAACTGCATGTGCTGAAGTCCTCTAAACTCATGGACTGCACTCATTTTGACTTCAGTTCAAACCAGAGGGCTTAGCAAGGTTCACCAGTGGATGTTTGATACTTTGTTTGATTAACCTCCAAGAAATTGCAAAAACAAAAGGCAAAACAAACAGAGCATGGATGCTAGTTTGGAAGATCTGGAGCTGTGATTTCACTAATCCCTGATGCTTCTGAATAAATACTTCAATTCTGAGTAAATACTTTAGTTCTGTGTGCCTCACATTAAAACCAGAAGCAGCTGTGCATTTCTTTCCCTTGCTTTCTCCAGTTCAGGAGGCTTGTTTTTCTTCTCCTTGGGGCTGTGCCTGGGCATCTCAAGAGTAATAATTTTGGCCCTAAATGCAGCTCTTGGTCTCTTCAAAGCATTGTACAAACCTTCAATTAAGCATCTCTCTACCTCTAAGGGAAGAAAGTAGCAATAAACTTACCTTGCAGCTGGGGACGCTGAAGAGGCTCGACTGTTACCCACCTGGGTGGCAAACTGCACATCTGGAGTCCCACATAGCTGCCATGCTCTCAAAAAGCTCTCTTGAAGAGGTTGGAATCGATGAGGCACTGTGAAATATGGGGAGTTTTTTAAAGCTGAGAGTTGCGAGGTGCTCAAGCAAATAGAAGGCATGCCTGGGATGTCTGAATAAGCTTAAAAAGTAACACTACAACCATGTTAGGCTTAATGTACCTTTTGGGGTTTTTTTCTA